GGGGTCAGGGTCTCACACCTTCCAGTGGATGTATGGCTGCGAAATGGGGTCAGACGGGAGCTTCCTCCGCGGCTATGACCAGTTTGCTTACGACGGCGCCGACTACATCGCCCTGAACGAGGACCTGCGCTCCTGGACCGCGGCCAACGAGGCGGCTCAGCTCTCCCGGCGCAGATACGAGGCTGTGGATGAGGCGGAGGTGCAGAGGAACTACCTGGAGAGGGTGTGCATGGAGTGGCTCCGCAGATACCTGGAGAAAGGAAAGGACATTCTGCAGCGCGCAGGTACCAGGGGTACCAGGGGCGAAGGGCCTCCCTCTCCCCTCGGGCTGGGGCCTGCAAAGAGGAGAGGAGGATATGGGGTCAGCCTCCAAACAAGGCCCTCCTTGCGTGGGGAGACGGTCATCCGGCAGCAGGGAGCTCCCACCCTTCTCTCCCCGACAGTTAGGGTGAGGTCTCTCCGGGGAAGGAGGGGGACCACCCCTGAAATAATCGGTCAGGCTTCCCATGGGCCCTGCGGAGGCTCTGGGACCCTCGGGGGCCTTCTCTCTCAGGCCTTGCTCGCTGCCCCTCGCCCACTGTGTCCGAGGTCTGACCTCGGCTTTTCTGAGTCATGTGGCCTCCACCCACGTCAGGACCAGAAATCCCTTTTCTCCCCTCAGAGACCTGCCTCCTGCCCTGGGCTGTGTCACTCTGATTCTAGAGCTTTCTGAAGACTAGGAGATCACTCCAGCTGCCTCAGTCCAGGCTGGTGTGTGCTCCCTTCCCCACCCCAGGTGTGCTGTCCACTCTCAGGATGGTCACATGAGCGCTGCTGGAGTGTCCCATGGCGGATGCCAAGTTCCTGAATATCCTCCCCTCCCCTCAGAGCCTCCAAAGGCACACGTGACCCACCACCCCGTCTCTGCCCGGGAGGTCACCCTGAGGTGCTGGGCGCTGGGCTTCTACCCTGCGGACATCAGCCTGACCTGGCAGCGTGATGGGGAGGAGCAGATCCAGGACTTGGAGCTGGTGGAGACCAGGCCTGCGGGGGACGGGACCTTCCAGAAGTGGGCGGCCGTGGGGGTGCCCCCTGGAGAGGAGCAGAGATACACGTGCCATGTGCATCACGAGGGGCTGCCCGAGCCCCTGACCCTGAGATGGGGTGAGGAGGGGCATGGGCACAGAGCCTCTTCTCAGAGAAGCAGGGGCCCTGGGGGACCTCAGTGGGATCGGGGCTGAGGCCTGGGGTCAGGGCCCTCACCTCCCCTTCCCTTCTCTTCCCAGAGCCGCCTCCTCAGATCTTCATCTTCATCATCATGGGCATCGCTGGGGGCCTGGTTCTGCTGGGAGCTGTGGCTGGAGCTGTGATGTGGGGGAGGAGGCGCTCAGGTGGGGAAGGGTGGGTCTGAGTCTCTTGTCCCAGTGAGGGGTTCAAGCCCAGGAAGAAGTGTGTCCCACTTCATTCATGGGAAGCACCAGCCCCACACATGTGCTTGCCCAGTGTGGGGCCCTGTTTGCTCACACTAACTCCTTAGTGAGGCACGTGTGAAAATGAGGCACAGATTCCTCACCTGGTGATTCCCAGGAGGTCAGAGTGGAAGGTCCCTGCAGGGACAGACCTCCAGGAGGGCAGTTGGTCCAGTCCCCACATGTGTACTTTCCTCAGGTTTCCTGATCCTGCCCTGGGTCTGTGGTCACAGTTCTGGAAACTTCTCTGGGGCCCAAGACTAGGGCTTCCTTTAGGACCTCATGGCCCTGCCTCCTCCCTGGTCTCACAGGGTGTTTGCTTCCCGCAGGTGGAAAAGGAGGGAGCTACGCTCAGACTGCCAGTGAGTATGGAGAGGTGACCCCTGAGACCCTGTGACAGTGCAGACGGGAGCCCGTGGGGGACCTCACCCCCACAGTTCCTCCTTAGTCTCCTGTCCTGGGGGCTCTGACCACATCCTGTCTTGTTCTACCCCAGGAGGTGACAGTTCCTGGGGCTCTGATGTGCTTCTCAAGGCTTCTAAAGGTGAGACCCTGATGTGGGGAGGGGTTGGGCAGAGGGGGGGGCTGGGTAATAGGATTTCTCTGGGACATTTTGAGCATGAAGTGGACTTTGGAGAATGTCACCAGTTACAGCAACTGACCTGAATTTGCTCATGATTATTTTCTTCTACAGCGTGAGGCATGTGCCTTGTGGGGACTGAGTAATGAAAGATTCGCTGAGGCCCCCACTTCTTGCCTCAAGAACCTCTGCTTAGCCCAAGCCAGTTTGGCTCAGTGGATAGAGCGTCGGTCTACAGACTGAAAGGTCCCAGGTTCGATTCTAGTCAAGGGCATGTACCTTGGTTGCATGCACATCCCCAGTAGGAGGCCCCTGATTCATGTTTCTCTCTATTCCTCTCTCTTCCTCTCTTTAAAAAATCAATAAAATATATTAAAAAAAAAAAAAAAGAACCTCTGCTTAGCCCTAGCCAGTTTGGCTCAGTGGATAGAGCGTCGGTCTGTGGACTGAAGGGCACATGCCTGGGTTACAGGATCGATCCCCAGTATAAATGGAATCTAAAGAACAAAATATACTGACAAACATAATAAGGCCAGAGGTATGGAAGCAGGGAACAGAATAACAGATCTCAGGAGGGGTTGGGGGGAGAGGGGACATGGACACAGACAACAGCATGGGGAAGACCTGGAGTGGGCTGGAGGTTGTGTGGATGGGGACAAAAAGAGAGAAAACGGGAGACATCTGTAATATTGTCAACAATAAAATAAAATAATACTTAAAAATTTTTTTTAAAAATTTTGTTGAACCAGGAGGTCAGGGTTTGATTCCTGGTCAGGGCACATGCCCAGGTTACAGGCTTGATCCTCAGTGGGGGGCCTGCAGGAGGCAGCAGGTCAATGATTCTCTCTCATCATTGATGCTTCTATCTCACCTCCCTCTCCCTTCCTGTCTGAAATCAATCTCTATATATAATAGGCTAATATGCTAAGTGTCCTTCCCACTGTCTGCGCAGTGACCACCAGGGAGCAGACGCTCAACGCAGGAGCTGCTGAGCTGCAGTGACTTGGCAGCGGTGGTTCTCAGGTGATGCACCCTGAAACCAGAGAGGAGGGAGGCGGATTCCTCCCAGGGCTGCAAGAGTCCACCTTGGGTTATGTTGTTGCTGGGGCACTGTCGACCTGAATCTGGTTTACTGCACACTTGTGTTTGCGTTCCACACCCTGTATGACAGCAACTTTGCAGAGTGCCCTCTCGCATTCTGGGACCCCTCGGGGGATATTGAGAGCCGGTTTCAGCCTGATCCCCGCAGACCAGGCCAAGGGACCCCACCTGCCGGAGGGACCCCGCTCACTCCACAGCTGCCTTTCGAGCCACGGAGCCACCCCAGGTGTGGCTGGCCTGGGAGGGACCGTGGGAGGTTGGCTCCAGGCGTGTCCCGCCCATCTCCCAGTCCTGCATCGGCCACCTTCTAATTAATTTCCTTTCCACGTGCACGGGTTCATGCACCCCCCATAGTTCCTCCTTTAGTCTCCTGTCTATGGGGGCCACTAGTATGCATATAAAGAACCTCTAATTGGGAGGCTGGCACACCTGTGGCCCCGCGCCTCCTCCCCACACTTTTCTGTCCAGCAGAGGCCAGGCTGGGCCCTCCACATCCCTGTCTTGACTTCCTGGTGCTCTGAGCTGCAACTTCTTACTCCGTATTAAAGTGAGACTCTGGATGTGACTTTGTTCACTTACTGTCATGAAGGGTTGATGGGGCTGTTGGACTGGGAACCACTGAGGTCAGTGACAGCTTGGGGCGGGGTGTGTGTGTGTGTGTGTGTGTGCGTCTCAAATCCACATTTGAAGGCCTATTTTTTCCTCAGAAAGAAAAGGGAAGACGTACATTGTCAACTATGAGACATGGAGTTGGGTATTACATGCCATTCTCACCGTGGGGCAGAGTCAGGGGGCAGCCTGTAAGCGGGCTGTGGGTCAGCGCAGTGAGATCGAGGGGTGTCTGCTCTCTGGAACTGCTCCCCAGGCTGGTTTCTTGGTGCCAATACTGCAATCCCATTTTTTTCTAGTTTAGACATGGAGTACCATAGACATGATATTGTGTCTGACGGTGTTTGGGGGAAAGCCACAGGTCAGGCTTGAGGCTGCACAGCCAGGAAGGGGTCTGCAGTGCCGCCCAGGTCGGGCCCACGCGGCCACTGCCCACTGCTGGCACAGACGCCACTGCTCACACTGCCGAGCCCCCTGACCTGCCCCTGGGCCGGGGCTAGGACTGTGCCTCTGCGGCTCCCGCCTCCCCTGCCAGTGAACTCTGCAAGGCCCCAGCCCGTCTGTCACCACGTCCTGAGCCAGAGTTCGGCATGTGGTCGCCTGACTGGTGGAGCCGCATGCTGTGTGCAGACGCAGGAATGTTGGGGGAGGTGGGTTTCCCTCTTTTATGGAGGGGCGTGGTCTCCCACCAGAACTCTACGCATAGAATTCTCATGTAGAAAGAGAGTCGGGTACTGCGGTGAGGGATGGAAAAGAAGACCAGTTTCAGCTCTCGGACACAGACTGAGTGGAGCTGTCTCAGGACTTGGCAGGCGCTCAGGTTTGGTGGGAAGAACAGGGAGTAATAAATGACATCTTTCAGCTCATTCCCTTGAGTCTATGTCCTGAATCCAGCTTTTCTCTACTCCAGTTTCTACTCTCAGGAAAGAGGGTGGGGTCGTGAAGTGGTTACTCAAACGTCTTCCCCCTGCCTTTGTCTCTTACTGGGGTAGAGCACCCAGGTCGGGGAGACTGCAGCAGCTCTGTGTGCACCGATGTCATCATATTTATATCTCCTTGTATATGCAAATGATTCTGGGGAGAAAATCTCTCACATCACTTCTTTTTTTTAATTTTAATTTTATTTTTTTAAATATATTTTATTGATTTTTTTACAGAGAGGAAGGGAGAGAAATAGAGAGTTAGAAACATCGATGAGAGAGAAACATCGATCAGCTGCCTCCTGCACATCTCCCACTGGGGATGTGCCCGCAACCCAGGTACATGCCCTTGACCGGAATCGAACCTGGGACCTTTCAGTCTGCAGGCCGACGCTCTATCCACTGAGCCAAACTGGTTTCGGCTCACATCACTTCTATTGGACTGGCTCAAAGGACTAAAAACCAAAACCTAAAACATGTTTCTTGTTTCAACGTAGTTGTACTCAACGTCTGGACCATGATCAGCTTGGAGGCCCAAGGACAAGGTATAAATGCTTGTATCTGGATCTTGTGCTCTGGGATGAGATGAGGTAGAGCAGTACTTGCTCTCTTTCTCAGTTTCTGTTGGGGACCTTTCTAAATAAGTCTGTGCCGTGCAGATCCTCGGGTATTTACTGGAATCCTGATGTTTACTCCCTGGATGCCCTGCCTAGAGGACAATGTAAACATGTGTCCTCCTGAGATTACTCACCCTGCTGATTGTATCTGAAGATAAAAATTCCAATAAAAGCCTAACGAGGCAGGCAATCGAGGCTGTCTGGTTGCTATCAGCCAGGCTGTCCCTTAGCCGTCTCTCCCACCGTGAAACTGTGTCTGAGTAATCTGTTCATCCGTCGTTCAGGGGCTGCTGGTCAGCCCCGGCAAGTTTCTCTGTGGGATGGTGAGGGATGCTTTCCTCCACCCAACCAGTTCTCTGCTCCTCTGACACCAGCTGGGTGTCCTGCAACACAGGGTCAGGGCTCCATCCCACTTAGGGTACAAGCCACAGCTTCAGGTCCTCATGGTACCAGCACTTGTGTCTGACTTTGGTACTGAGTTGGGGATTCCCCCTCTCCCAAGTTCATTAATTTACTGGAACAACTTGCAGAACTCAGGAAAATGATGTGCTTACTGTTACAATTTATCATAAAAGATGCAGGTGTTCAGCCAGATGAAGAGGGACCTGGGCGAGGTGGGGAGGGCCCCGAGCCCAGGAGCCTCTGTCGAGTGGCATTGAGTGTGTCCCACCCCCCAGCGTGTGGGTGTGGGCTGTGCTTCAGAGGCCCTCTGAGCCGGTTGCTGGGGGTTTGCTATGGAAGGTTCATGGTGCAGGCAGTGTTGATGAATCACTGGTGAGGAACTCCGCTGCTCTCCCGGAGGGTGGGTGTGAGGCTGAACGTTCCAGCCCTCTGGTCAAGCTTGGCCTCTGGTGCCAGTCCCAGCTGGAGGGAACCAGGACCCTCAGCCAAGAGCCATCTCATTAACATCCCAAAGGCCCTCTTCCACTCAGGAGAGTCCCAGGGTTTCAGGAGCTCTGTGCCAGCGAAAGGGACAAAGACCCGATATTCTCTGTAATGCCGCAGGGCTTTACCACAGAGCCACTAATAGCAAAAGTGTCATAACTGCGTACAGATGCTCCAACAAATGGGATGATGCACCAACAAGTGGAGCCACACCAGAGAGGGCCACTTTATTTTTTTGGCACCTGCTGTTGAAGGAAATCTCTGTAAAACTGCGAGCTGACCACTGAGCTAATGCAATAGAGATTTTAGTTACCAAGCATGACAAAGGCAGTCTTTAACATATTAGCTAAGATAGGTCACTAAGCAGAGAAACAACTATAACCCACAACAAACAGCAAGAAGAGACTCTGGGAGAGGAAGCAATGAAATTTTCAGTTACCACATTATAATATTCCAAGTGTCCAGTTCACAACAACAAATTATTAGGTTTACAAAGAAATAAGACAGCATCTCATTAACAGGAATAAGTAAATAGACTCTGTCCCTGAGGAAGTCAAGACATTGGATGTATTAGACAAAGACTTTACATCAATAATCATAACTATTTCAAAGAGCTAAAGGAAACCAAGAGAGCAACATCTCACCAAATAAAAACTATCAAATGAGATACAAACTACAATAGGAAATGGATAGAAGTTTTAGAACTGAAAAGTATAATAAATAAAATTTATAACTCACTAGAGGGGTTCAACATATTCAAAGTCAGAAGAAAGATTCAGTGAACTAGAAGATGGCTGATTTAAATTGCCAAGTCTGAGGAGCAAAGAAGAAAAAAAAATTTTAAGTAAACAGAACCTGCCCTCTCTGATAGCTCAGTTGGTTGGAGTGTCATCCTGTGCACCAATGGTTGTGGGTTTGATCCCAGGTTGGGGTGCATACAGGAGGCAATTGATCGATGTTTCTCTCTCACATTAATGTTTCTCTCTCTCTTTTCTCTCCCTCCCACTCTCTCTGAAAGCAATGGAAAAAAATATCCTCTGGTGTAGTAAACAAAACCTAAGGTACATATGGGACATCACACAGGCTAATATAGGTGGAATTTATCAGGGAGAAGAATCAGTGAATCAAAGATAGGTCAATTAAAATTTTCCACTGAGCATAAGAAATGAAAAGGAATGGAGACAACGGGATTGAGGGGGGATAAACAATAAAGATAAATTTTTTAAAAAAGAATGGAGACAAATCCTATGAAACCTTTGGGCACCATAAAATATCTATCTACACTAATAAAAGAGAAACATGGTAATTAGCGTACGACCGCTACCCTTCCCATTGGCTAATCAGCATATCCTTATGCAAATTAACTGTCAGCCAAGATGGCGGCCGGCAGCCATGCACTGAAAAGCGAACATGAGGCTTGCTTGCTCCAGTGACTGCAGACTCCAACGTTCCCCGCCTGACTTGCCGGCCTCTGAGTTGCAACTCTAAGCAACTATGTACTATGTTGCAAATAAGAAGCTAAACAAAACCCCAGAAACCAGCTTTCAGCCTGCCGGGATCTCAGAGCTGAAGTTATACATTGTTTCGATTATAGAACGGCAAACAAACCAGATACGAAGCCTCAGAGCTAGAGCCAGAGCTAAAGCTGGCCCAGAATAAAATAAAAAAAGAGAAAAAAAAGGAGCGGTTGGGAGCTTCAGTCAACAACCGCCAGCCTGAAAGCAGCCCTCAGCCCCTCACCCAGACTGGCCAGGCACCCCAGTGGGGACCCCCACCCTGAAGGGGGTGTGACCAGCTGCAAACAGCCATCATCCCCTCATCCAGGCTGGCCAGGCACCCCAGTGGGGACCCCCACCCTGAAGGGGGTGTGACCAGCGGCAAACAGCAATCATCCCCTCATCCAGGCTGGCCAGGCACCCCAGTGGGGACCCCCACCCTGAAGGGGGTGTGACCAGCGGCAAACAGCAATCATCCCCTCATCCAGGCTGGCCAGGCACCCCAGTGGGGACCCCCACCCTGAAGGGGGTGTGACCAGCGGCAAACAGCAATCATCCCCTCATCCAGGCTGGCCAGGCACCCCAGTGGGGACCCCCACCCTGAAGGGGGTGTGACCAGCGGCAAACAGCAATCATCCCCTCATCCAGGCTGGCCAGGCACCCCAGTGGGGACCCCCACCCTGAAGGGGGTGTGACCAGCGGCAAACAGCAATCATCCCCTCATCCAGGCTGGCCAGGCACCCCAGTGGGGACCCCCACCCTGAAGGGGGTGTGACCAGCGGCAAACAGCAATCATCCCCTCATCCAGGCTGGCCAGGCACCCCAGTGGGGACCCCCACCCTGAAGGGGGTGTGACCAGCGGCAAACAGCAATCATCCCCTCATCCAGGCTGGCCAGGCACCCCAGTGGGGACCCCCACCCTGAAGGGGGTGTGACCAGCTGCAAACAGCCATCATCCCCTCATCCAGGCTGGCCAGGCACCCCAGTGGGGACCCCCACCCTGAAGGGGGTGTGACCAGCTGCAAACAGCCATCATCCCCTCATCCAGGCTGGCCAGGCACCCCAGTGGGGACCCCCACCCTGAAGGGGGTGTGACCAGCTGCAAACAGCCATCATCCCCTCATCCAGGCTGGCCAGGCACCCCAGTGGGGACCCCCACCCTGAAGGGGGTGTGACCAGCTGCAAACAGCCATCATCCCCTCATCCAGGCTGGCCAGGCACCCCAGTGGGGACCCCCACCCTGAAGGGGGTGTGACCAGCTGCAAACAGCCATCATCCCCTCATCCAGGCTGGCCAGGCACCCCAGTGGGGACCCCCACCCTGAAGGGGGTGTGACCAGCTGCAAACAGCCATCATCCCCTCATCCTGTCCGACCATCTGACCAATCACTATGTTGCACACTGACCACCAGAGGGCAGATGCTCAATGCAGGAGCTGCCATGATGCGCACTGGCCATTTACAGAGAAACGGCACCCCAGAACTGGCTCCCACAAAACAACATTCAGCTCCCCCCAAGTGGGACAAAGGCCCCGCCATCGCCCCAGAGTGACACCCCACCAAATTGCAGCCAACACTGCCAAAACCCCATGGTGCAAAATGCGGCCCACAGCCCAGCCCAAACTGGAAATGGTTTCTGTGGGCTCCGGGTAATAATGTCACATAGCAATGCCCGGCTTCCTCTCCCTAGCAACTAACCTCCTTGGAGTTTCTTCATCCCAGGAACACAATTTGCTTTATAGCCAGATGCAAACATTTTACACTTTAACCAAATGTCTGTGAAGTGTTTTCCCATGCCTCATCTTATTTGATCCTCACAGAAGTCCTGGAGTAGGTAGATAGGAGACTCAGTGGAATCCTATTTTCTTTTCATTA